ATGGGAAGAATTTTCGTGCTCTAGAGGTTAAAATTGGGCTGACACCTCTCAAATAGGAGCCGAAATTGTTGGATATGCATTCCTGCATAACTTGAGATATCAGGCGACTGGACAAGACAGCTCCAGGAACCTCAGATAAGTCTGTTTATGTTTAACTCTGGCCAGTGTTATTGTCATGTATAGACAGTGAGGTTTTCTGAGTATGATACACCTTAATCTCCAGTCAAATTGGTGAGTGACATTAAGATATATTCTCCTTCTGTTATGTAAATTGTATATATATAATCAATTATTAATTTTAATGTACAGTCCACAAATTTTTATATTTACCAGAGTTCCTGGTGATGCATATTTCATTTGTAATTAATAGGTCTAGAGCAACTTGTGGTTATGACAGTGGTAGGTATCGAAGGGAGACATTTTTTGCGACGTAGGTGTCCCAAATTCCTACTTGTCTATGTAACTTTGATAAATAATAATTATCTTTGTTACCATTTACTGGTATGTACCTTATGTTATGTCCAGATTAATGTAATTTTCCACAATCACGCAGTTTGTGTACTATTACACCATTATTATTATTCTAATAAAAAAGAAACAATAAACCTACTGATACACCATGACCACAATTGTTGAAGACTCGCAGTGTCAGTGTATACTACATCGGCATTTTGTTTTTCTTCTAGAACATCCAAAACCATGTGACAATGGTGCAGTAGTTGGGTTAGGCAGGAAGACCTGCTGTATACCCATGCTGCCCTGGGTTGTGCAACTGATGAGTATCTAAGCGGGTGGCGATCTTGCTTCTTAGAACCCCTTCAAATATTTTTGTGGGAGATTAGTGCTATCAGTCTGCAATTCTTTACAATGCGTTCTCTCCCTTTTGGGAAAGTGGAGTGTCGTTGCTTTTAGTACTGGGGGAAAACCCCCTGTATCCACCCTCCCTCTCCAAAAAGCACGTAAGGGGGTTTCTTGCAGCTTTTGATGAAACCGATTTCAACAAAGTCGGGCCTGGGCCAGAAGCATGGGCATGTATTTTTAATTTTTCAAAATCTTGTTGTTTTAGAAAAATTCAGAAAATTTTTTTAACCGTTTTTGAGAACATTATAAAAATTTATTTGATTGTCGATCCTTACCCTGATTAACAGTCCAAAACACTGAGTCATATTGGGATTCATTTATCTCACCTTTTCTTTCTACCATGGGGAAGTCCCATCTTTTTTAAAGCGGGGCCCCATACTGGATGGGGTTTTTGCCCAAATTTTTGGCACAAGGAAAAAGTTTTTTTTTTTTTTTTTTTTTTTCTCAAAACTTTAAGTTCTCCCTATGTTTATTTTTCGGGGGTGATTCCTTAAGCGTATTTTTTTGATATTTGCTATTTCTCTAAAAAATGCCATCTTTGTATTTAGATTCTGCCCCCTTTTACGCTCTGTGATGCTTTCCCTTCCCCCTTAAAAGGGGGTCTCTTTCTATTTACATCTTCTGTGGCACTTCAGCATACCCCAAGTGCCATAAATTAATTCTAGGCTAAAAAACGATCTGATTGTTTAGGATTCTTCCCAGCTTGTTTCATTTTGGACATGAAAAAACTGGTTCCCACTGTAGCTTTTTTTATTTAAGTTCAAATTTGGGGAAGGCACCGTCACTGCTGACTTATGCTGGGCAGAAGCCCCCGCATACATAACCTACGTTTTATTTTATACCCAAATCTCATTATTAGGGAAGATGGATCAAGTGTATTTTCAGTCTTTTAACTCCAAAAATTTTTGAATTTTGCAGAGATTTTTAAAAGCTCACAATTAGAATTTTCATCTGACTGTATATCAGTCGGGGAAATAAAAAAGTGGACAAAAGTTGTTGCATCCCGGTGTGGCGCTGTCTTAGAGTAATTAACTGTAAGAATAAATGAAAACCGTGTGCCCGGGGGGGGCAGGGGTCCTGGTGCTGAGGAAAAGGATAAGCAAAGATACAAACACCAAGTTACAAAAAAACATACCATGGAGAGGCAAAAAAAAGGGATGATCCGAAAATAGTGTGATAAAACTACCAGCAAACATGGTGGAAAGGACCATTTTTAGTATGGGGCTATAGATATTGGGCAGTCATAAAAGAAATGTACCAGTAGGGAATGTAGCCACGAAAAACCATGGCAAACAGAAATGAAATCTAGGCAAATTCTATGCCTTGGGTACTCTCCTTCGTGTAATTTTTTCACCCTGAAATGCCACTCTTCAGTCCAGGAAAGAATGCTACAACATATATTGTCAGGCACACCACCTCAAGGGGGCAGGAAGATGCAGATCACTCAGACTATGGAAAACAAACCAGGATAGCCACAACCACTCCAGAGACAGATATTTTAGTGCCAGGAAGGAAAAAAAAAGCTGGAAAGAAATGAGAGAAATCTTACACCAACTCAAATCACTTCTGAAGTGCAGGCACAATCAGTGGCCCCCCTCCAAAACAATAGATATTAGTGCCAGCAAACGAAGATACCCCCCACGTACCATCAGTACGACGACATTTATCTTTGCAAATATACAGGATCTAAAGCCAGCAACCATCAACAAAATGCCTTTCATCAGTGGACTGCTCACAGAGTCAAATGCAATGCTTGCAGCTTTCACAGAGACCCACATAAAGGCCCACTCTGACAACGAAATATGGATCCCAGGTTATAACCTAAACAGTTTAGACCGAGACAGAGTGACCAAAAAGAAGGGAAAAAAAACTCCAATCATCGTTCAACACTTTCACAATTATTCGTATATAATCACTGTCTTTGAAGAGACGCTCAGATAAGACAGTTCGGATGTCACTCTAAAGAACCAATATCCCAAACCCCTCCTTTAAAGTGCAGGCATTGTAATTCCTGCTTCCAGGACTCAAATCCGGCTAACCGTTATCCCTGAATCCCTTCACACTACAACAGCTCGTCAGGTCCCAAAAACCATTCGTCTCTGTTCACTCCTATCTAACACACGCATGCTTGCTGGAAGTCCAAGCCCCTCGCCCTCAACACCTCCTTTACCCCCTCCCTCCAACATTTTCGAGGACGAACCCTACCCCGCCTTCGTCCCCCTACAGATTTATACGCTCTCCAAGTCGTTATACTTTATTACATCCTCTCTAAATGACCAAACTACCTCAAGAACCCTTCTTCAGTCCTCTGACTAATACTTTTAATAACTCCACACTACTTAATTTCTACACAACGAATTCTCTGCATAATATTTACACGACACATTGCTCTTAGACAGAACATCTCCAGTACCTCCAGCCGCCTCCTCGCTGCATCATTTACAGCTGATGCTTCACACCCATACAAGGGTGTTGGTACCACTATTATATTCTCGTACATTCCCTTCTTTGCCTCCGTGGATAACGTTTTTTGTCTCCACAGATACCTCAAAGCACCACTCACCTTTTTTTCTTCATCAGTTCTATGGTTAACCTCATCCTTCATAAACCCATCTGCTGACATATCAACTCCCAAATATCCGAAAACATTCAATTCTTCCATACTCTCTCACTCCAATGTGATATCCAGTTTTTCTTTACCTAAATCATTTGATACCCTCACCACCTTACTCTTGTCTATGTTCATGTTACAAAAAATGCGATTCTAAAAGCTTAGAGATCTCCAGTGAATACTAGAAAGGACTGCCCTTCTAGCATCCAGCCTGTTACTGGGTTTTCGTAACAATTAGTCAGTATCCTTGTCCAATTATCCATTAGAATTCAGTATGATTCAATAGTGCTTCAGGATTACAACTGGTAGGCTACTAACTAGAGAAATTAAAATTTAATAAATTTATTAAGTTGTCTAGGCGTATATCAAATTAAATTAAATTAAATTAATCACAGTAATCAAAATAATATTAATCACTTCTCTCGTGTACAATATTATTGTGCTGAAAGCACATATTACATTTATAATTCTTAAGTACCGTCTGGTACATTAACATTTAATAAGATATTACAAATAATTATGTGTAAGTGTGTAAGTGCTCCAAGTAGTTTGCAATGTCTCACGACACTGACTAGACTTAAACAAGTGACTGACAAAGTCCACAAATAAACTAACTTCTTGACCAACTGGCAATCAGAACAGTCTGCTTGAACAATAAAAAGAATGCTAAGCCCAATAGCAATATAACAAGCAACTGTGACACAGAATCAGGAACAAGGAGATAATATAACGACTCTAAGTAGGGACCATCAGCAGATCCTCCACAAAAGTCACAAAACTCCCATACTACTGAATCTAAGTTCAGCATAAGAAAATCCCCGACTGTGATAATACACAGATACCAGTACAAATTAGGTCAGAAGCTACAGCTCAGGACCTGAGTTACTCAGAGTGTCTAAGCGACACACAACCTCAGTACAACGTCGAAAATCACTAAGTCTATCCAAAGTTCTGTGAACAGAGTCTCCAGAACTAACAAGAATAATAATGAGACAGAGACGATCTTCCAACAAGAGCCAATATGGGAGATTTAGGCACTTGTCAGGAATACGTCCAACCACCAAGAGAGTCTAGACCAGACTTCAGGCGAGGTGTGGACACCCCTCCTCGATCACGTGATAGTTCCGTGGACGGTTGCTGCGTAGCAACAGAAGCTGGCAGAGTAACGAGCCACAAAGCGATAATTACAGTAGTTAGACAATCAAGACTTGAACTGAACACATAATATGGTACATCTACCTAACAACATAACTAAGTCAAATAATAATATAAAGCAATATATTCACGATTTAGCTATTATCGCAAATATAAGCAATATAAAATTATATGAAAAGGTAATATACGTATAATATATATACATAATATACATTGCAACCCATTCAGGGGTTGCATCAGTTCACTTTCACCTTTCTTCTTGCTTTTCAATAACCAAAATTTTGTGTAACTATATGTAAATATGCATTAAATAATCATCTGAGTGGTATAGCGAATTTACCATTAGTTATGTTAATTCATATTTTTCTTCCAGATGAAGGTAGCAATATTGTTGTTATTGTGTTCGCTGGGGCTCGTCTTTGCTGGGATGTCCTGGCAGGAATTCAAGGTAATTATAACGTTCCCTACGGATATAGTGCTTCCTCATGATGTTGATGGTGATAATAATTAACAAAATAATAATAATAATAATAATAATAATATCATCTCCATTTTAACACTAGACTCATGCTTGGAACCTACATAAGTCTGATCGACACCATGCCCAGCCCTTCTACGGCAGGGTAGCGCCTGAGCCCGAGCTTGCAGCTCACAAGCCTGCCATTAGCCCCCTTGAGGCTGGGGTGGCAGACCAGAGAGGCCTAGCTTCTCCCTACGAGCCCTGAGAGGGCGGGGAATGTAGCTAGGCCTGGGGACAGTTGGTCCCAAAGATGAGGAGGTACTTGTACCTCCTCCCATGGCAGACTTAGGTCTCAGACACTCCCTAGAGAGGGAGTCAAGGCCGGGCCACCACTTACAAAAGGTCTGGGCCGCCACTTACAAAAGGCATGGGCCACCACTTACAAAAGGCCTGGGCCACTACTTACAAAAGGCCCGGGCCGCCACTTACAAAAGGCCCGGGCCACCACTTACAAAAGGCCCGGGCCGCCACTTACAAAGGCCCAGGCCATCACTTACAAAAGGCCCGGGCCACCACTTACAAAAGGCCCGGGCCGCCACTTACAAAAGGCCCGGGCCACCACTTACAAAAGGCCCTGGCCGCCACTTACAAAAGGCCAGGCCCACCACTTACAAAAGGCCCGGGCCGCCACTTACAAAAGATCCGAGCCACCACTTACAAAAGGTCCGGGCCGCCACTTACAAAAGGCCCGGGCCACCACTTACAAAAGGCCCGGGCCACCACTTACAAAAGGCCCGGGCCGCCACTTACAAAAGGCCCGGGCCACCACTTACAAAAGGCCCGGGCCACCACTTACAAAAGGCCCGGGCCGCCACTTACAAAAGGCCCGGGCAACCATTTAAAAAAAGGCCCCGGGCCCGGCCACTTCCCAAAAGGGCCCCGGGGGCCAAAACCCTTACAAAAGGGGGGGCCAAACCATTTACAAAAGGGCCCGGGCCCCACTTACAAAAGGGGGCCCCCGGGCCCACCACTTAAAAAAGGGCCCGGGCCCCATTAAAAAAGGCCAGGGCCCCCAAACTTCCCCAAAAGGGCCCCGGGAAACCCAAACTTAAAAAAAGGCCCGTCCGCCATTTACAAAAGGCCCCCGGGGGGCCACAATTTTACAAAAGGCCCGGGCCGCCCTTAAAAAGGGGGCCCGGGCCGCCCTTAAAAAAAGGCCCAGGCCCCCATTTAAAAAAGGGCCCCGGGCCCAACTTCAAAGGCCCGGGCCCCCCAAACAAAAAAAAGGGCCCCGGGCCGCCCATTAAAAAAGGGCCCCGGGGCCCCACTTCCCAAAAGGGGGGGCCCACTTAAAAAAGGGGCCCGAGCCCCCCCAAACTTCCAAAACGCCCAGGCCGCCTCTTAAAAAGGCTTGGACCCCCCTTTTCAAAAGGCCCAGACCCCCCTTTAAAAAACCCCCCGGGCCCCACTTAAAAAAGGGCCCCGGGGCCGCCATTAAAAAAAGGCCCGGGCCGCCACATAAAAAAGGCCCCGGGCCCCCCACTTAAAAAAGGCCCCGGGCCGCCACTTACAAAAGGCCCGGGCCGCCACTTAAAAAGGGGGCCCGGGGCCGCCACTTCCCAAAAGGGCCCGGGCCCCCCAATTTTTTGAAAAAAGGGGTGGGGGCCCACTTAAAAAAGGGGCCCGGGCCCGCCACTTACAAAGGGCCCCGGGGGCACCATTTAAAAAAGGCCCCGGGGGCCTCCCTTAAAAAAGGCCCCGGGGCCGCCACTTGCAAAAGGCCCAAAAGCCCCCACTTACAAAGGGCCGACACCCAACGACAAAAGGCTCGGGCCCCCAAACTTAAAAAAAACCCCCGGGCCGCCACTTAAAAAAGGCCCGGCCCACTTAAAAAAGGGCCCCGGTCACCTCTTCAAAAGGCTTTGGGCCCCCAAATTCCAAAAGGCCCGGGCCACCATTTTAAAAAAGGGCCCCGGGGCCGCCACTTAAAAAAGGCCCGGGCCGCCACTTAAAAAAGGGCCCCGGGCCCCCAATTCCCCAAAAAGGGCCCCGGGGAAACCCACTTAAAAAAAGGCCCGCGCCCCACTTCCCAAAAGGCCCGGGGCCGCCACTTAAAAAAGGGGCCCGGGGGGCCCCCGGGAAAAAAAAAAGGCCCGGGCCATCACTTAAAAAAGGCCCCGGGGCCCCCACAAACAAAAAGGCCCCGGGCCCCCCTTTTTAAAAAAGGCCCGACCGCAATTACAAAGGGGCCGGACCCCATTTAAACAAAAGGCTGGGGGCCGCCATTCCAAAAGGCCCCCGGGGCCCCCAAAATTTACAAAAAGGGCCCGGGCCGCCACTTAAAAAAACCCCCGGGGGTTTACCATTACAAAGGGCCCCGGGCCGCCCTTAAAAAAAGGCCCGGGCCGTCCCCTTACCAAAAGGCCGGGCCCCCCACTTACAAAAGGGGGGGGGCCCAAAACTTAAAAAAAGGGCCCCCCCCCCCCTTTACAAAACCCCGGGCCCAAAACCCTTACAAAAAGGCCCGGGCCCCCAATTTAAAAAAGGCCCCGGGCCGCCACAAAAAAAGGGCCCCGGGGCACCCCCTTAAAAAAGGGCCCCGGGCCCACTTCCCAAAAGGCCCGGGCCCTCCCCCCTTAAAAAAGGGCCCGGGCCGCCCACAAAAGGCCCCCCCCACCCTTTAAAAAAGGGGCCCGGGCCCCATTTAAAAGGGCCCCGGGCCGCCTCAAAAAAGGGCCCGGGGCCCCACCACTTAAAAAAACCCCGGGCCTCCACTTAAAAAAAGGGCCCCGGGCCACCACTTACAAAAGGCCCGGGGGGCCCCCTTAAAAAAGGCCCAGGCCGCCACTTAAAAAAGGGCCCCGGGGAACCCCCTTTAAAAAAAAGGGCCCCGGGGCCACCACGTAAAAAAAGGGCCCCGGGGCCCGCCATTTTAAAAAAGGGGGGGCCCGGGCCCCCAAAATTTACAAAACCCCCGGGGCCACCATTTTAAAAAAAGGCCCGGCCCCCACCATTTAAAAAAGGCCCCGGGGCCCCCAAATTTACAAAACCCGGGCCACCACTAAAAAAGGGCCCCGGGCCGCCACATAAAAAAGGGCCCCGGGGCCCCCCATTTAAAAAAGGGCCCCGGGGCCTCCACTTACAATGGGCCCCGGGCCACCATTTTAAAAAAAAGGCCCCGGGCCACCACTTAAAAAAGGCCCCCGGGGCCGCCACATAAAAAAGGCCGGGCCGCCATTAAAAAAGGGCCCGGGGCCGCCCCCTTAAAAAAGGGGGCCCCGGGGCCACCACTTAAAAAAGGGCCCGGGCCACCACTTCCCAAAAGGGGGGGCCCCGCCACTTAAAAAAAAGGCCCCCGGACGCCATTTCCCAAAAGGCCCCGGGGGGCCCCTTCCAAAAGGCCCCGGGCCGCCATTAAAAAAGGCCCCGGGCCACCATTTTACAAAAGGCTCGGGGACCACTTAAAAAGGGGCCCCGGGGCCGCCATTTTACAAAAGGCCCGGGCCCCCCACTTAAAAAAGGTTCGGACCGCCATTTTACAAAAGGCCCGGCCCACCACTTAAAAAAGGGCCCCGGGCCACCTCTTAAAAAAAAGGCCCCGGGGGCCCCCCACTTACAAAAGGGGGGGCCCCGCCCCCTAAAAAAGGGCCCCGGGTCCCCATTTTAAAAAAGGGCCCTTTGGCCGCCATTTTAAAAAAGGCCCCGGGGCCACCCTTAAAAAAGGCCCGGGCCGCCACTTACAAAAGGCCCGGGCCCCCATTACAAAAGCCCCGGGCCGCCACTTAAAAAAGGGCCCCGGGCCCACTTAAAAAAGGGCCCCGGGCCCGCCACTTTAAAATTTTTCCCCGGGGCCCCAACATTTAAAAAAAAGGGCCCCGGGACCCCCAACTTAAAAAAGGCCCCGGGGAAATACCATTTACAAAAGGGCCCCGGGCCCAACCACTTAAAAAAAGGCCCGGGGCCCCCCCACTTACAAAAGGCCCGGGGCCCCCATTTCCCAAAAGGCCCGGGGCCGCCACTTCAAAAGGCCCGGGAGGGCCCACTTAAAAAAAGGCCCCGGGCCGCCACGTAAAAAAAGGCCCCGGGCCGCCCCTTAAAAGGCCGGGCCGCCCCCATTAAAAAAAGGGCCCGGTCCACCACTTACAAAAGGCCGGGGCCCTTCTCCCTTACAAAAGGCTGGGCCCCACTTACAAAAGGGCCCCGGGGGGCCCCCAATTAAAAAAACCCCGGGCCCCCCCTTACAAAAAGGCCCCGGGGCCGCCATTTAAAAAAAGGCCCCCGGGCCACCACTTAAAAAAAACCCCGGGGGCCCCCCACTTAAAAAAGGGGGCCCCGGGGCCCAAACACTTGAAAAACCCCGGGGCCCCCAAACTTACAAAAAGGTCCGGGCCCCCCCACTTAAAAGGGCCCAAAGGGCCACCATTAAAAAAGGGCCCCGGGGCCCCCATTTAAAAAAGGGCCCCGGGGCCCCGCCACTTAAAAAAGGCCAGGGCCCCCCTTTTAAAAAGGGCCCGGGGCCCCCCACTTACAAAACCCCCGGGCCACCACTTAAAAAAGGGCCCCGGGCCCCACTATTTTAAAAAAGGGCCCCGGGGCCGCCACTTCCAAAAGGCCAGGGCCCCCCAAACTTAAAAAGGGCCCGACCAAAATATTTAAAAAAGGGCCCCGGGCCCCCCATTTAAAAAAGGGCCCCGGGGCCCACCACTAAAAAAGGCCCGGGGGGCCCACTATTTCCCAAAAGGCCCGACCGCCATTTAAAAAAAGGGCCCCGGGGCCGCCACTTAAAAAAGGGGCCCGGGCCGCCCACTTAAAAAAAGGCCCCGGTCACCCCACTTACAAAAGCCCGGGGCCGGGGCCACTTACAAAAGGGGGGGCCCAAACCATTAAAAAAGGCCCCGGGCCACCACTTAAAAAAGGGCCCCGGGTTTCCCCCTTAAAAAAGGGCCCCGGGGCCACACTTACAAAAGGCCCGGGCCACCCCCTAAAAA